GGTCAAGGTAAATTTTTTAGTATAGTCCGGTTGAACTAGTTCTGCTTGAGCAATGAGATTTTTTTTCAGCTCGTTAAAAGCTTTAATTGCTGGTTCATCCAGCTGAATTAACATTTTTGTTGACATTCTTTTTGAGATTTTGCCATTATGACCTCCAAGATATTTTGTTAGAGGTTTGGCTATGTAGGCGTAGTTTGAAACAAATTTTCTATAATAGCCCGTAAAACCTAGGAAACTTCTTAGTTCCCGAATATTTTCTGGAAGCGGATATTTTCTAATGGTTTCAATTTTCTCTGGGTCTGTCTTGATGACGTTATTGGATACCATGTATCCTAGAAAACGGGTTTCGCGTTTGAAAAACTTAGATTTTTCTAAAGAGATTTTCATGTTTCCCCTAATAATATATTTATAATTTAGATCTGTAGATTTTAGTTTAGATCTGTATAGTGTTGTTCAATTGAGTTTGAGAATATTATGTCGTCCATATAGACATGACATGTTTTCCCTAGTTGTTCTCTTAGAATATCGTCCATTGCTCTCTGAAAGATTCTTGGTGCATTTGTTAATCCGAATGGCATTCTTAAAAATTCGTATTTTCCATTATTTATTGAAAAGGCTGTTTTTTCGACATCAGATTCTTTCATTAGTATCTGATGAAATCCTGACTCTAAATCTATTGTTGTAAAATATCTTGCCTTTACCAAATTTGATAGAATTACTGATGGCTCTTGCATTGGGTACCTGTCAGGAATGGTACTTTCATTTAATTTTTTTATAATCAATGATGAGTCTTAATTTACGGCTTCCGTCTTCATTCTTTACTTTCTTTGGGACTACCAGAAGTGGTGAATTTTAAGGACTTCTGCTAGGCCTTAATATTTTTTCTAATAACATTCTTCTGCTTTCGCTATTTACAAAGTCGGTGACAGATAGAGCTAACGGATATTGTTTCCCGTATATTGGCCTATCCCGAATAAGATTTATTTCACCCTTTATGTCTTTTCTAAAAGAAATTTGCATATTTATCTTTGAATGCTCCTTTTCAATATAGTGAACTATCTTTTCCCTCAATCCGCCTAATTGGTCGGTACATATATTATTTATTTGATTTTTGACGGTATTTACTTCGTCGGCACTCTCAGCATTTTTAATTCCCAAGATATTTTTATTTATATTAATGGATATTTCTACGTCGGCGTTCTCAGGATTTTTAGTTCCCAAGATATTTGTATTTTTGTTGACGGATATTTCTACGTCGGCATTCTCGGGATTTTTAGTTCCCAAGATATTTGTATTTTTGTTGACGGATATTTCTACGTCGGCGTTCTTGGGATTTTTGGTTCCCAAGATATTTGTATTTTTGTTGACGGATATTTCTACGTCGGCGTTCTCGGGATTTTTAATTCCCAAGCTTTTCTCACTATTTTCAACAAATAATGAATCTGTGTTTTCGCTACCATTATCATCAAAATACTTTTTTATAATAAATTCTTTTAATGGAAGAATATTATTTTCTTTAATTAAACGTATTTAATTTTTCTCCTCATTATCATAATATTTTAACTTCTCCTGTTTCCCATTGTATTCCAAGATTCCCTTATCTATATTTATTATAGCTCCAATTTTTCTTAATAAATTGAATCCCATTAGAATATCAGATTCTAAACCTTCGATTTCATAAAATAATTGTTTTGTTTCAAATATATTTATAATATGGTAATACCTAATTTTTTTTATTTTGATAATAATTATTATATCTACCTTGGTTATCGTTTGCCTGCCAATTATTATATCTTCCCTGGTTACTATTTGACTGCCAATTTTGGCTCGGCTGCCGATTGTTATTAGATTTATTCTGGAGTTGAATCGGTGGATCAACATCCATTGGCTCGATAGCTTGTTGCTTATGATTATTATTTTGCCAAAAATTTCCCTTTTGTGGCCGATTGTAATTTTGGTTTTGATTAAAATTATTTCCCATTTTAGTGGTATTATTATTTTGTCGTATTTGATCAAATCGTAAGTTGTTTCCCCTGTGAAATTTGGTAAGGATTTTACCACTTCAAGTGTTGTATCGCATTTTATAGCTGGTTCAATTGTTTGTACTTTATAATCTTCCACAGTTTTTGCATCTGGGGCTAGCCTTCCTTCTAAACATTCTACTTTCCTGCTAACTTCATTCAATTGAGCGTTTATTAATCTGTTTATCACTTCTATTGTTAAACTGCGATCTGTGGCTACACTGCCTGCAGAAAAATTTGGTGCTGAACCTCCGGTTGCCATTGTTAAATTTAATTCACAAATCTATGTATTTATCAAATCTTCCAGATTTATTCTTTATATTATTTGTTAAATCGCGAATCTTACTTTTTGCAAAATATAAATCTTATATTATTTTTCTCAAATTCACAGATCTTAAATTATAGTCTTTAATTTTTTTATTATTTTAAATTAATTCCTCACGATATTGTCCCGTTGGGGTCTTCCTTCTGTGTGGTTGGTGGTTGATCGTCCTTAATCGTCATTAATTAATTTCCATTTACTTTGTTGTTAACGATCACTGTCACTTGGTAGTGTCGTTTGGTGGATGTTTAAATTTTTCCACTAAAAATGTTGAGTTTTTGACCGCGCGAGTTCTGTTTATGTTTAACTTATTTTTCATTAAACAATTTTTTTTGGTGCTTTATGTGACGCGGCCCCTTGAGTTGGGCGCCAGTTAAATTGTTTGTAGTTCGGTGAATTAAAAAAATGTAAATTTTATTTTTTTAATTACACAACTTGGTGTTAAACCTTTATTTATTAAACGTAACAATTACAAGACACTTTTGATTTCTCTTAAATATTTTTTGTCAACCGTTCGCGGTCTCGGTCAAAATAGGACTGACTTCTTAATTCTAAATCTGATCCAAAGAACCTCGGCCATCAGTTGTGTTTAGATTAAAGGCTTAAGATGAAACTGTCGCATCTTATTGTGAAATTCGATTAAGCTGATCGATGCAATTTGGTGCGTACTTGAAACGCAAAAGGCGTAAATGATTGGGTTTCGGAGGGAAGCTGATGTTTACTTTTGATTTTGATTTGTTTATGGGGAACCGAGATCGGACCTCAGAGCCAAAGACCAAGCCGAAGGCAAATGCAGAGTTTGAAAATATTGTTTATAAAATTCATAAGTGGAAAGCCATAAGTGGCCTGGATTTATGGGTTGGATAATTGAGCCAAAGATCCAGCCAAAGGCAAATGCAGAGATTGAAAATATTGTTTATAAAAGCCATAAGTGGCCTGTATTTAGGGGTTGGATAACTTATACGGCAAAAGTGACCCTGAAAAAGTTAAGATGGTGTTAGTATTTTTACGATATTAGGGACATAGGCATATTTTGGCAAAACATTTTTACACATTTGTTACCTTTGGAGACCGACAAACACATTGGTAAATAATCGAATTGTAGAATGTTGTGGGATCACCACTTAAACTTCAGCTAAACATGAAAAAGACGTTCAAAATATAGGCAAAAAACATGTATTAGTTCACAATAATATAATAATAACAATAATTATATCTCATTTTATAGAAAATACCTTCAACTTCAAAATCCATTACAAATAATTTGAATTTGAAAACGTAAGTAATGATCTTATCATTTCAAAGTTCGGTTTAGTTGTGAAATATTCGTGATGCGCGCAGCTGCGCTTTACAAATAAGCAGCTGTTCACATCATCAAATTTATTTTTAGAAAATCCCGTTAGATTTCTAGAAAAATCTGGTTTGCCATGAAGAAGCTTGGACATTTTAGAGGCGATTTGTTTACTTTTCGTACATTTTTGCCGTTATAAATTTTTTTATTTTCGGCCTATGGGAGCAACCCCTGTGCACCCCAGTCCGAAATGAAGAGCACCGCCTCGAACAAACTTCAATGTACAATGAACTCTAACAGACTTTGTTTTTCAATAATTTGGAAGAACCTTTATGCTTTATATATTATTTTTTCTTATATTGAGCTAAAATTATTTCTTTTGTTAACACTACCCATAACAGCACCGCTGTAAGTATATGTACCTATGTATGAATATTTTACATTTTTCTTCACTGCACTTCAAATTCACTAAATCATGCAGTAGTTATGGGTGCGACTGCGACTGGATTTGATGGTGGAATTAAATGTTGGTACGAATTGAATGTACATATAAGACCAATGCTTTTTAATTCTAAATCTGAATCTGAATTCTAATCTGAATTTTTTCTTTGGAAAGGTTTGACAAAGAAGCCAAAATTGCATAGCTTAACAATGGGGCGAATGCTTGTATCTGGGGCTGATCCACCTAGCCAGCATATGGCCGGACGCTTGTGGCCGTTAATCATTTTGGGTTTCATCGACGTGTAGCGGCGATGTGCCATGACAAAGGGTAACTCGTGACCCGAAAAAGAAGCATTTTTTAAATTCCAAAGTATCCAAGACCAAAACATTTTATTGATTCTATTAATGCAGGTAATACACAAAAAGAAAATTTCGGTTTTTGCTGAAATTTTTCCAAAATCTAATTTAAAAAAATAGTAATAAAATTTGAATAATAATATATTTTTGTAAATAAATTCCATTATACATTACCTGGGGAATATATGGGGAAGAAAATGGTTACAAGCTCCAAAAATATTTATCGAATTGAGTTCAAATTTTAAGAGATGTACATACCATATGTATAAATGTAGATTAGAATAACATAAAAACTAAAACCAAATATTTGGATTCTTTAGAAATCCTAACTGCGTATAACCCCTTAAAGGTTAAGGAAATATTTAAACGGACGTTCTTGTTTTAGTTACAGTGAAGGCGTATACGTAACATATGAGCATATACTTACATGTTAAAGTAAAATTTTCCTTTAACTTATATGTATAGGTTGACTTATAAGTTGGCTTATATGTATAAGTTGGCATATACTTACATATATGTATGTATATACTAAGTATGTGTCCCTTTATTTAATTTACACCTAAAGTAATTTTTTTTTACGACGGTAATATTTATTTCATTTTTAAAGTTTTGAAAATATTTGACATGAGTATGTATCATACCATTGGTCAAAAAAAATGTTACAAGGGATTGTGTTAAAAACTTTATTAAATTGAAATTTCAGCCGAATTCCTTGCCGTCAACGTTTTCTTGATGTTTAGCTTTACGTTTTTTTGCATATTCTTTTGAATAGCAAATATCATCTTTCATGGGCTGAAACGTTGCGTGTGGTTAATATTGTTATTTTGTCTCTGTAATTAAATAAAAATTAAATAAAACAAGAAAGAAAAGCTAACTTGGGACGGAGCTGAAGTTGATATACCCTTGCAGTTAAAAGCGAATATATATCGAAAAAATCGGATCCTTACGAGAATATTATAATATAAGCAATTTATTACAATAAAGCTACAAAAAAGAAAAGCAGCTATCGGGTATAGTCGTCCGATTTTGCCAAAAATATCATTCATACAAAATTCTCTAACTCTAAAAACACCGAGTTTATACCATTTCCGATCAATCAGTTATATGGCAGCTATAGGATATAGTTGGCTGATCCCGGCCGTTCCGACTTATATACAGCATGCAAAAGAAAGAAGGGTGGGTGCAAAGTTCCAAGTCGATAGCTTTGAAACTGCGAGACTAGTTCGCGTAGAAACAGACGGACAGAATACATATCCTGATCAAGAATATATATATACTTTATAGGGTCGGAGATGTCTCCTTCATTGCGTTGCACACTTTTGGTCAAAATTACCATAACACCCTCTGCAAGGGTATAATAATATGGGACAAAAATAACATTTGCTTACCATTTGGGGACACTTATTCCCTGTAGTCCATTTCTTGAGGGCCCTCGTTTAGGTGACATCTTAACTTTCTAGATAAAATCAGTAGAATGCAAAAAAGAAAATAAGAAGATTTATTAATTTGAAAGATTTATTGTATATATAATCCTCATTATATACAAATTAAGGATTCAGTAGATTTTTCATACTCAGTACTCGTAGCGTACAAGCACTAACCGTATAGCATATAGACAACCCCCATTTCATACAACGAAAATGGACGCAAAAATGTCTTGCGACAGGCCCCAGAGCGAGATCTTACTCTCTTACGCTCATCCTTCGTTCATCTTGCGCTCATATTCTCATTAAATGCTTTCTATTCTTCAGTCTCTGAAAGGAGCGCTATGAAGAAGGTTGGACTGCGCTTGGACTGATATTTGTATGTATGCGTGTCACAGATTCACATACACGGGTGCATGTGTGCGTGCGATTTCGTTTCGAAGCCAGCGCACACAATTTTTGAATTTTCTAACTGCTCCGGCAACCCTAAAAAAATTCGGGTATTCGTTATTTGGTGAAATGACGAAAGAAATAATATTAAATTTTTAATATTTCACCATACATTTTAAATTTATTTAGGAATAAGATTAGGTGTTAGTCGTAAAATTTTTTGTATATATACATTTTTACGAATTGTTAAAAATCAATATACTGAGAAAGGAACAGGGTATATTTCAGTCGACAGTACCTAAAACACCGATTGGTTTTAAGTTTTTGATGTTTTGCATGTGAATTGTGCTTGCATGACCGATGGTTGGTTTTTAGGGGACCGGACAGCAATAAAAATATTAAAAAAATTTGGCTATGCATTTTTTTTTCATTTAAGGGGTTATATACAGTTGTGATATATGAAAAAATCGATTTTTTTTTTATTGCATATTCTTTAAGTATATTTTATTGGGAATGCTCTCACAAAAATTCATAACGATCGGAGCATTAGAACTGAAGCTGTAGCTATTTAAAGCGCACTATCTGCATATAAAACTTGAACAACCTTGAAACTTTAAACGCGATTATCTCAGAATCTTTTTTTTGGGAAATTACCTTTGCGGTGGACACGATTACTAAAAAACTACTAATCCGATCAACACCAAATTTTGACCACTTATTTATTATGATATTAGCTAGTCCGTGAACGAGGGATTTTCAATTTTTTTGAAAACTCCTTTTTTAAAGCACAAAAAACGAAAATCTTATACGTTGAAAAAGTACATTTTTTGTTAAAAACGTCGCCATTTTTTTTTTAATCAAAATTTTTAAAAATCCCTCGTTCACGGACTAGACAATACAATGTACTAACTAAACTTTTTTGAATTTTGGATTTCGGATGAACCGTTTTCGAGAAATCTTGTCCACCGCAAGACACCATCGAAAAAAGACGATCCGGGGATTCGGCTATAACAGTTTTGTTATGTAATATTTTTTTATGAAAAAATTTAATTAAGTACCCAGAAACATGACAACGTCGGTAAAACATTTTTCATAAATATTTTCTATGGTGTCAAAAAAAAATCGATAAAAATCCATATTTTTGCGCGGTACAACTGTATATAACCCCTTAAAAAATGTATGGTTTCAAAATTTAAAAAAAAATTCCATTTATATATTTTACTATTTAATTGATTAAATTTTATTTAATTGATGTTTACAATAAATTGTAGCATTTTTTAAAATTTTTTAAATTTTTATTTTTAAAATTACATTAAAGTTGACTAAATAAGAAAACAACTTCACTTTAACAAAAATTAAATTTAAAAAAGTTCATAAAAACAGACTGAAAAAAGTTAAAGTAAAGATTTGTGTCTGCTCACTCCCCTAAAATCATTCATCGGTAGGGTATGCAAGCACAATTCACATTCAGAACAACAAAAACTTAAAAGCAATCGGCGTTTTATGTAATGTCGCAAGGAAGAAGTGGAACAACAATAATAGGCGCATGGAGGGACAAGCACCCAGCTGCGCTTATCTTCAAGTTCTTTCCACTCCAAAATTCCTTCATCTATGTATTCCGAATATAATATGCAAAAAATATGAAGCCTGCACCGTTCACCTCTTACAGTTGCTTCCGGAGAAATATTGAATTTAGTTTATTTACGTACTACGCCTTTAAATATTAAATACCTCCAGTATGAAATTCGCCATGCTCCGATAGAGTACAAGGCTGTGTGCTAAAATACCGTGCCAGGACTCTGTGCAAACGTCTTGGAAGATGGAAGAAAACAAAGAGTCTCATTTAAAAATGTACATTCCCGCTTTGTCCGAGCTATATCGGTGTTTACTCTTTTTATATTTTTTTTTTTTTGCCCCATACTTTACCAAACTCTCTAGTAATCAAGAATGCAGATTATGTTAAACTGCCCAAAGCAAACTTCAGTCCGATCTCGAAAATTTTCAAAAATTGTGTTACGCGAATGATTTAATACTTTATGAATCAAAATGCAAACTTATGTTTATACCCTTGCAGAGGGTATTATAATTTTGGTCAAAAGTGTGCAACGCAGTGAAGGAGACATCTCCGACCCTATAAAGTATATATATTCTTGATCAGGATCACCTCCTGAGTTGATATGAGCATGTCCGTCTGTCCGTCTGTCCGTCTGTCTGTCTGTCTGTCCGTCTGTCTGTTTCTACGCAAACTAGTCTCTCAGTTTTAAAGCTATCGTCTTGAAACTTTGCACACACCCTTCTTTTCTTTGCACGCAGTATATAAGTCGGAACGGTCCGGATCGGCCGACTATATCCTATAGCTGCCATATAACTGATTGATCGGAAATGGTATAACTTTGGTGTTTTTGAAGTTAGAGAGTTCAAATTTTAGGTGAGAGCTATTTTTGGTAAAATAATACGACATGCCAAATTTCGTAAGGATCGGCCGACTATATCCTATAGCTGCCATATAACTGAACGATCGGAAATGACCCATCTTTGACCCAACTCGTGTTTTTGAAGATAGAAAGCTGGAACTTGGTACAGATTATATATTTGGTCAGTTGATCCGACCTACCAAATTTCATTAGGATCGGCCGACTATATCCTATAGCTGCCATATAACTGAACGATCGGAAATGGTACTTGGTAGAAATATCAACTTTCGTATTTTTGAAGATAGAAGTTTGGGACTTTTTTTAGATTTTGTATTGTAATAAATTGGATTATATTTTCCTATTCCCATAAGGATCGGCCAACTATATCCGATGTTTGCGATATATATCCGGTTTTAACTGCAAGGGTATATAAACTTCGGCTCCGCCCGAAGTTAGCTTTCCTTTCTTGTTTTTATTGTTCTTGCCCTCTCCAGGCTACGTATTTTCTCTATGAGATAGCCTTAGAAAAATGCACTTGGGTTAATGATTTTGTTGTCCTATTAGACTCACAACTCAAATTTTCCAACCATATTTCCACAATGGTTAATAAGGCTAAAGGTGTCCTTTGTTTCATTAAAAGGTGGTCTAAAGAAGTTAACGACAACTACATTACAAAAGCTTATTCATTTCTTTGGTCCGGACGATACAGAAGCACGGTTCATGTGTCTGGAGTCCCTAATATGGAGTACATGAAGCATAGATAGAATCCATAGAAAAAAATTTCTTAACATTTTTATTTAGAGGTCATAACTAGGGTGTAAATCTTCATCTCCCTCTTACAGTAGCAGACTCTTACTAATAAACTTATCAACCTTGACTAATCGTAGGACAATGATGGTTCTAGGTATACCCTTGCAGAATTTTATAAACACAAAGCGTAAACATGTATCTTTTCCACCTCTGCTTGCGTTTGAAAATTCATCTGCGATCTCTGATCGGGCCATCTGCGATCTCTGATCAGCCTTACGCATACAATATTCAATCAGCAAATCTTATTTTCTGTCCGTTTTTCTCCGAGAATAGCTTATTCTCTAATCTACTAAGGTTCAAACCCATTTATTCGCCAGGCCCCGATGGAGTACCAGGCTGAGTGCTAAAATACTGTGTCAGGGCCCTGTACAAACCTCTTCTAAGACTTTTCAACTTATCTTTGGAAACCTCGATTTTTCCCCTTAAGTCGAAGGAATCTTTCATAATTCCCTTACATAAAAAAGGGAAAAATTCCGATGCTGCCAATTACAGCGGCATCTTTAAATTGTCGGCAATTCCGAAGTTATTTGAAAAATTAAATACTCCCCATCTGCAACACCTTTGCTCTTCGATCATCTCTCCTTGTAAGAATGGCTTTATTAAGCGTCGCTCCACCACCACGAACTTATTGGAGTAGACATCCTTTGTCATAGATGGCTTTCGTAAGGGATATCAAACCGATGTGATTTACACAGACTTTAGCAAAGCATTTGATTCAGTGAATCACCCACTCTTGTTGAGTAAACTGAATATGCTGGGTTTTCCTATTGACCTCTTAAGGTGGATCTCCAGCTACTTAGGTGGAAGGACACAAAGAGTCTTATTTAAAAGCACACATTCCCATCTAGTCCGTGCTACATCTGGCGTCCCTCAAGGAAGTCATCTTGGCCCGTTGTTATTTACTCTTTTCGTAAATGTTCTTATGTATGCAGATGATGTAAAGATTTGTCCTAAGTACAAATCCATCTCTGCCCAATGCAGTCTTCAGTCTGACCTTGATAACTTTCGAAAATGGTGTTCAGCTAACGATTTAATACTTAATGGATCAAGTACAAGCTTATGTCTTTTTATCGTTCTTGCCCTCTGCAGTCTACGTATACTCTTGATGGGATTGCCTTAAAGAAATTAGCTTAGGGGAATGATCTTGGCATCCTATTAGACATTAAACTTAAATTTGCCGACCATATTTTCTTAATGGTTAATAAGGTTAAGGAGTCCATAGTTTTATTAAAAGGTGGTCAAAAGAATTTAATGACCCGCATATAACCAAAACATTATTCATTTATTTGGTCCGTCCGATACTGGAGTACGGTTCATGTGTGTGGAGTCCCCAATATGGAGTACATCAGGACCGCATAGAATCCGTACAAAAGAATTTCTTATCTTTTTCTCTAAGAGGTCCAAATTGGGATGCATAT